GCCTGCATTTCCAATACAGCTGAGTCAGCAGCTTTTCATGTTGCAACAAAGATCTGTTAATCATAGAATATCAGGGTTGGAAGGGATCTCAGGAGGTATCTAGTCCAACCCCCTGCTCAAAGCAGGACCTAATCCCAACTAAATCATCCCAGCCAGGGCTTTGTCAAGCCTGACTTTAAAAACCTCTAAGGAAGGAGATTCCACCACCTCCCTAGGTAACCCATTCCAGTGCTTCACCATCCTCCTAGTGAAAAAGTTTTTCCTAATATCCAACCTAAGCCTCCCCCACTGCAACTTGAGACCATTGCTCCTTGTTCTGTCATCTGCTACCACTGAGAACAGTCTAGATCCATCCTCTTTGGAACCCCCTTTCAGGTAGTTGAAAGCAGCTATCAAATCCCCCCTCATTCTTCTCTTCTGCAGACTAAACAATCCCAGTTCCCTCAGCCTCTCCCCATAAATCATGTGCTCCAGCCCCCTAATCATTTTTGCTGCTCTCCGCTGGACTCTTTCCAATGTTTCCACATCCTTCTTGTAGTGTGGGGCCCAAAACTGGACATAGTACTCCAGATGAGGCCTCACCAATGCCGAATAGAGGGGAATGATCACGTCCCTCAATCTGCTGGCAATGCCCCTACTTATACAGCCCAAAATGCCGTTAGCCTTCTTGGCAACAAGAGCACACTGTTGACTCATATCCAGCTTCTCGTCCACTGTAACCCCAGGTCCTTTTCTGCAGAACTGCTGCCTAGCCACTCGGTCCCTAGTCTGTAGCAGTGCATGGGATTCTTCCGTCCCAAGTGCAGGACTCTGCACTTGTCCTTGTTGAACCTCATCACATTTCTTTTGGACCAATTCTCCAATTTGTCTAGGTCCCTCTGTATCCTATCCCCACCCTCCAGCGTAGGGATAGGATACAGGGGGAACTAAAGATGTGCAAGGACGATATCACTGCCAAGGTTTGAGAGCTTTATTGTTTCAACAGGTAGTTAAACATTAGTCAAACACATAGTCCAGGTTACTGATGAAGGAATCTGTATTTTCTGAAAAAGTACAAAATAAATCTTCTCCAATTGGGCGTGACAGGCAGACCTCACATTAATCTGTTTTTCCAGCAAGGCATATGTTAAATGACTTCTCTGTTCCATGAAAACTGAATGACCCACCCACCAGACAAAATTCCATATAGGTGACTCCTCTTCCCCAGCTACAAACAGCCAACTAATCGGACACAAAGCTCTTACCGAGCTGTTCCTCCTAGGACAGCTGTACTTGGTCCTATTGTTCTTTTGAGTTTCCATGTTAGAAAAGACAGCACTGGAAGTGCGTGGATTTCATGGTTAGACTACAAAGGAATGCTAATAGGAGATTATTTGGTGACCAAGAAACTTATAACTGTTCCACAGGGATAAGAGTAACACAAGTGACAGTCTCAGCATAGTACTTGAGATCTCATTTTATCTTGCTAAGTTGCTTTTCCCATCGCCAAACTTTCATGAGCAGATTTGCTCTTACTGAGTTTACAGGTTTGAGGCACTTATGTTTAGGGGAAATATGACTTCACTTCAGAGTTATGCTTCTGTAGTTTCCCAGTAAATGCTCTGCAGTTGTTCTACACAACAACTGTGTTCCATGTTGTTACGGTCATTTCTTGGCTCAGGAAGTCCCACTGTCTTCTGTCAGCTGCCTCCCACTGGGATGGGGCCACTTTCCCTGTAGTGTTTCCATGAGCTTAATATTTTTTAAAATTGTTCTTAAAAACCTGGCATCGTGCAAAGCTCCGTTTCAGCTAGGTTGTGGACAATATAAAATCACACATGGTCTGACCCACTGGTTGCAGGGGGCTTTGAATCAGGCCTTATCTGCCTGCGCTCCAGGCATACGTACGGAGGCTATGACTGTTCAGCAGAAGAGGTGTATATTTTAAAATATACCTGCTTCGTTTATTTCAGTCCATACTTTCAGAATATTTTTCTTGTGAAAAATCAGTGTTTTTTAAATTTTGAAGGAAAAAATGGTAAAGATTTTTTAAATAATCTACCACCTCTGTGCAAACGTGTGACCGAACGTTACAGCTCAGAGAGGAGACTTAGGCCTGCTACTAATTCAAAGATGCAGTTAAACATCTGAGGGGTCGGAACATTGTATCCAAGTTGATGCTCTGTTCATTGTCTGGCCCTGTCCGAGCAGAGAACTCACTACAGTGGGTGCAAGATCAAAGTTCTTTTCATTGGACTTTGCTGTTACATACTGTCAGTGACCGTTGTGTGAGGACAAGGAACACCAGCTAGAAGCAACGGGCTCTAACGTAACCGATGTGAAATTTTCTAGGCTGGATGCCAGGAAAAACAGACACGCCATCCAACAGCCATTTTCAGGAGTTGCAGACAACTGTAGCAGAGATCCCCTCCCTACATAAGATGGCTACACTTTAGAATTCCTGTATGAATCATGAGTGTGTGGTTTGAATTCTGAAGATCCCTGAACATACTGGAAAGCTTCAATATGCACCTGGAAACCGTGCCATTAGGGGGTGCAAAAGAACTAAGTTTTCATCCCAAAAAGAAATCAGAGCAAGTCCAAAAAGCTGCAGTTGTCATTACCATCACATTTTATTTCTTACTGGAAAAAAAAATAGAAAATAAAAAAGACTTTAAACAGTTTTATTTCTTCTCCCTGTCTCAAAGACACGCTGGGTTTGGCTTTCCAGCCACAGGACTGCCAAGGCACCCAGGACAGAAAAAGTGGTGCTATGTTAGGTGCTCGTTGAAAATAAAAAGAGCCCTGTGCTCCTATTTTCAGACTGTTACTGGCACATTTCACAAAAGGAAACAGATAGAACCGCAAGTAGGTGAGCTCGGAGCAGGACCAAACACCTCACAAGCTACATTTGCGACTTCGCTTCTTTCTTTTGGCCAACCATGAAAAACTCAGAACTGACGCAATGAATTACTGAAGGAGATGGGAAAGGAGGAGACGAGTTAGTCACGGGCTCTCCTGTCTAGTTCTATGTGTAGCTTGAGGGGAACCCAAAAGCTAGCTAGATCAATTCCTTTCTTGTATTGTCCCTTTGGTCACACCAGAGAGAGAGCCAGCCACACTGGAATTCCAAGTGGAGGAAGTGCTCTTTAAAAGCAGGGACTAGGAACTCACTCTGGGCCTGGGTGGAGAGAAAGTGATGATGCTTCACTGAGTAATCTCACTTCTCTTCACTTACTGATTCCCTGAATACACACAAGCTGAACCACCAGCTGAGCAGGCTAACAAAGAGCAGCGGCCAATGGGTCTTCTCTAGACGCACAGAAGGGTAACATTAAGGCTTTGTCTACACTGCACTTTTGTCGGTAAAACTTCGGTCGTTCAGGGTTGTGAAAAAAACACACACACCCCCCCCGAAAGACAAGAGTTTTACTGACAAAAAGCGCCGGTGTGAACAGTGCTTTGTTGGCGGGAGAGCTCTCCTGCCGACGAAGAGTGGCTACACTGCGCACCTTCTAGCAGCTGTGTCACTAAAAGGTGCGAAGTGCAGACTTAGCCTATATGTATTCTGAGCAAGTTAAATGTAAGGAAGGGTGTGACGTAAAGAACAATGGACAAATCATTTGATTTTTAAAGAGAGGAAACACTGAAGAGAATCTGCTACACTGGCTGTATAAAATCCAGTTACTGGATTGGACCAATGGCCTAGAGCTCAGAGAGCTCCTAACAGATTTAAAAAATTCAATTTGAGTTCCAGGAAGAAAGTTTTGTAGTTCCAGATTCTGCCTTGAAAGCCATGAGACAGCAAGAGAGAGTAGTCAACACACCGAATATAAGAATAAACTTTCTTAAGACAGCCAGACCCCAGTTTAAAGAGCTACTTCACTTCCCATTAAAATGGATGAAGAAGAAAATCTGCAGCTAACAGTCTCTTCCAGTCAGGGCTGACTGTGACCCACTATTGTTGTCTGTTGCTGGGAGTAAGGTGTATATCTATGATAACCACCACCAAGCTACCTGAAAGAGAGAAACCCCTCCAGGCTCTCCTGCAGCAACCCTCTGCATTTATTAACTGCTACAAAGGGATCAGTAACAGCCTTCTCCATTCCACCCGCCCGCACTGGCTGGTGTTTAAGCAGGGCTTTCTTTCACTTTAAGCTGAACGGAGAGGCACATAATGAGTTACTCAAAGAATCAGGGTTTCAGCCGTGACCTCTGCCCAGACCACTGGTTTAATCTCTCATATCTCAAAACACAGCTGTCCTTTCTGGAAACCAGTCTACTTCTCTTGCAGAAGAAAGGGCCAAGTCAGACAGTTCTGACCCCAGATCTTGATAACGCTCCCCCCAGGCTGAGGTGTAACTGCTATTGTTCTGTTCCATTTTCCTGAGAAAGAATGGACTAACTATATTGCTGGCCGCACATGGAACTGCAGTTATCAATCACTATGTAATATCATAAAGGAGACAAGAGAAACAAATGCCATAATCAGGCAACACAGCAAAACAGAGAAACTGCTGAAGGGCCCAAACGTTCCATACCCCAACACAGGCTGCCGAGAAAGGTTTAGCTGGTTTCAACAGAATTTTTTTGTGGCATAGAACAGTTATGCCAGCTACTTTGAAGTAACGCCTAGTGACGTAACTGTAGAGAATGGGAGTGAGGAATATTACTAGGACCACCAAAGCAGAAAATAAGGTCACTAGCCTTCATGAGGTTTGAAAACCCTCTTGCTGCCAGTCTGCCAGCTGTACAACAAGTGCTTAGTTTAGTTACATTCAGTACTATTATCCACACAATGTCCCAGCAGCACCAGGCAATGCCGGTTTCAGCACGCCATTACCAACTCTCTGAATTTTATAACTGAAGCCTAGACTTTGCTTGGGGTGAGGTGGGATGGGGTGGCAAGGCAAGTGTATACAGCTTCCTAGGAGATCGCATTCATGGTGGGTGGTGGTGAATTATCAGTAATCATCTTGCTTATAACAGCTTTAAAACCTCTACGTTCCAGGGAAACTTACCAGTGCAAACGGAGCGCATGAAGGAAAGCCGACAGGCCCTCCATGATCAGAAGGATTGCCACGGTCAAGGTAGCGAAAGCAGCAAATACGAAGAACAAAGCAAAACCTCCAGCCAAACTTCTCACACTGAGGCCGATGTGGATCACCATGGTCCAGAGCACCTCGGAAAGCTCTGCAGGAAGAAAGCTGCTTATTTCCGGGTGGTTGTGAAGGGAAGTTTTATTTCATGGAGAGTGGGCTTTAGGGAACGTTCCAAAATAACCCGTTCCCACCCCGCTGGGACTGTTTCTAGCACTGCAGGAGCCGGAAGGATGGTTCCACTGGGGCTGCTTGTGAAGAACAGGAAGTGCTTGCAGCCAGGTAACTCAGGACCTGAACTCCAATTCCCGGCACAGGCTGCAAGGCCAGAACTGCCACTTACTCAGTGCTTTACATTCCACTCCCCTTCCCCGTGAGCCCAGGATGCTCTTCATAGCCACAGCTTGCATAAGCAGACCCTGGGCAGCAGCCACTCCTGCCTCTTACTACAGATACAGTCACTCACACAAGAATGGAGCGACATTGCATCTGCCGCACTACATGAGAGCAGCAGGGAACTTACCAATTAAACTTGGCCAAGGATATTTTTTGGTAAGCTGAACAATTCTGGTCTATGAAAAACTAACATGAAACCGATTCTTCACACACAGACCATATCACAGGTTGGCCAAAGCACAGCCCATGAGCCAACGGTGGCGGCATGGAGATCTGCAATGGATTCCACTCATCCAGCGTGCAGTACTTCAGCCTGCTTTGTAGTCTAAAGAGGCTGCAACTCGGCATTAAAGGTGAAGGCAGCCACAATCTGCTCCATTTTAGGCAGATTCCTTTGGGCTCCTGACAAGTTATTACTGCAGCCCCCACCGCTGAGCTAAATGTGGGTGCCACTGTCACAAGCCACCAGCCGAGACACACACTCTTTATGACACACTGAGGTTCAATGACAAGCAAAGGCTAAAATCCTGATTACCCCAGTCAATACCCCCTGCCAACCATGAGCCCAGCACAGCCTGACCCTATCACACTCCTCTAGTCACACCCTCCATACTAGTGTAATAACCTTTATACAAAATGTCTTGTGAGGTATCATTTGAAAAACTAATAATATCATGGTGAAACGGGTACAGCAATATGACAGAGAAAGTCCAGGAAGATGAGCTGAAATAACTGAAATATGTTTATCAGACAAATCTGGGGAGGGGGTAAAACTGGTTTCTCAAAGACAAAATACAAGCTGACCCCTTTCGCCAGGTGTCAAAGTTGATTGGCCTCACTAGGCAACTGGCCTTGCTTTGGCAGCAAAGCGGGGCAGGAACCGATCAATTTTCGTTTTGACAAATGACATGAGACTCCATGCCTCTATCCTCGCATCTGGAAGGAACTGGGGACTCTGTGAAAGATCCTGACTTGAAAATTTGCAGGGAACGTGGTGAGGGTTTGACCTTGAACCAAGTCTAGCTTGTCAAGTCTTCGCTACTAGGAAGCGTTCTTTCTTTCTCTGTTTCTGACTTTAGCACCTAATACTTGTACTCACTTAAAACCTCTCTTTGTAGTTAAACAAACTTGTTTTAGTCTTTAATCAAAATGAATCCAGTGTTGTGTCTAAACAGAATTGTTTGGTAACCCCAATTACAGTAGCAGACTGTTGTATACTGACCCCTTACAAGGGCAATGGACCCCCAATATCTGAGCTGTCCAAAAGGCTGGGCAATGCAGAACACACATTTTTGGGGAAAATCTAGGACTGGGAGTGTGTTGAGATCACTCTACAGGTAGTAACCAAGGCTACTGGAAGCCAGAGAGTAGCTGGTGTTTGCTGACAGGCTGCTAGGGTCAGAGTGGCTGGAGCAGGACTGCAGCTACACAGAGACACTCAGGGGGTGACCTGCATGCTGTTTGGCTGTTTGTGAGCAGCCCACACTGGGAGCTACATCAGCGAGACACCCAAGGTTGAAAGGCAGGTGGTGACAACCCCTCACTGGTCTGGACTGCACCCCAGAATACATGACCCACGCACTAGGGCAGTTTCTTTCTGTGGCACATACACACATGCCTACGCCATCTCCCCAGGACATTTTTGTCCAGGTTGATCTGAGACACTGATCAAACCTCCAGCTTTGGGAAAGATACTTACGTGCATGGGCCAGGCTGAGAGCCCAAAGCCGCAGGTAGGACGCGGTGTTGGAAATGCACCCCAGGCAATACTCAATGGTATGGATGGCCTGATGTACCACCGTATCCCCAAAATCAAACTGCAGAAAGAACAACAGAGCAAAGAGGAAGTGAGACCAGCTGCAAGGCAGTTGTAATGAGCAAGGGTTGGGAGATTAGGGAAGCGGCACCACTGTCTGGGGCTATTACAAGGGCACTATGTTTGGGCTCTTACTGATAATTTCTTCTACTGGCCATTTGGATACAGATCATTTAGGAAGAATATCAAATAGAATTTCACAATTGCAGTGAAAGTTGACACTTTTTGCTAAATCTGAGAAACTAATTAGAAATAATCATTCAACACTGCAATTTGTAGACTAAAAAAAGTCTACTTTCACATGACAGGCAATGAAAACAGTTATGATCGGACCCAGGATTTTACCAGGAAAAGACTGTTCAGTAAAAAGTGGTTCTATATGAACACACTGGTAATGAGTGTCTATTTCTACAAAAGAGGAGAGGGATTACAAATACGGTTTTCCTTCTCCACAGGAATGAGATAAATGTATGGAAAAAAAAATCAGAAAAAGCCTGAGACAATACTGCATCTTTCGCACTGCTGTGGGAACAATGGAAGCAATCTTGTAAGAGCAGGAACTGGCTCTCTGTGAAAGAAGAAATAATGCACAAAAAGTTATCTTGAAAATCTCATCTCTGCTTCACTTTTTCATCTGCAGCCTCTATGCCTTCCAAGCATTTTGGCAATCAATTCAAAACGATTTCAAAATAAATGTAGGAGAGTTTGCCACATTGCAGCTTGGAAAAGAGTCCCACGTTTCTGCATCTTGGCGTTAATCCATGCTCCGTGAACTTCTCCGAAGCACATTATTAAAGGGGATGCAGAATTTTATGACACCGAGTGATCAATGTTCCGAAAGGAGTCCAGCATGCTATTTTTATTCTTGTTCCCCCCTTAAATAGCCAAAGCAATAAACATTTCCAACAACTATGTCAAACTAGCTGTCGAGAGCCCAGATCTCTCACTTCACAGGAGCATAAACTGCAAGAATTCCTCAGTCAAACCTGCTCTGGTAAACAGAGTCCTCTGCCTAGCACGCACAGCAAGTCAGCGTAAAATAAACTGAAACCGACAAATATTCAAACAATAAATACAGCGCATGGCAGAGTTAGTGAATAACTGCCAGGGAGACTACCACTCTTGTGCTTCAACCCAAAGGCTCTCATGGGATGGCTTTAGCAGAGTTCTTGCAGCCTTATGGGTTATTTTTCACTCTGTTTATTTAAAAAAAAAAAAAGTGTTGATGTGCCTTCATATCATTCAAATGTGATCAGATATATCTGCATTATCTTATGCCTATTTCACCAGCTCTAGGATTTATCCCTAAGGGCAACAGCTCTCTTAAAAGAGCTACGTTCAGCAAAATTTACAGATGCAAAAAAAGAGTGTCTCATTGCGAAGTTTCCACAATTCCACGGCTTTTATGCACACTGACAGTTGTTTCAGAATTATGCAATCCAGGTTTACTATTGCACAGCTGTTCCAGTTCTGAGGTGCTACCCTCATATGGTAGTACAATAAAAACAGCAACTTGATAAAGGGGAGATCTGAGAGTATGCCATGGTTGTATGTTTAGAATGTCACCAATCTTTGTTCTAGGAGACTTCGCTCCACTCAACACATTAAAAATTCACCTCAGTCATACACCTAAGATGGATAGGAACAAATTTTGCTTCTAGTTACATGTGTGAACTGCACTGACATTACTGGGGTTACACACAGGGAACTAGAAGCTGAAATCTGACCCTCTAGGGCAAGTCTTGAAACAAGCCAACAAGTGCTAGTGTTGAGGGAGGTTATCCACTTAGGCTTCTCTGCTGTACTGTTTGGATGAAATGAACATCCTTGTTCTTGAGGGTTGAGAAGAACTCTATAGTTATTTCACCATCAGATCAACTTCTGTCATTGTCATTGTCTCAACATTAGTTACCAGAACCCCAAACACTATAGGGCTAGATAAAAATGTAATGATCTCAATGTCTTGTGGGAACTGGAAAAGGAATTTGTATTTTTCTTGGCTATGTGGAGATGATGGAGCAACACTAGTGCATTCTACCATCATTTGTTGCTATGAAGACCAAGACCCACCTAGAACAAAAAAATCTGAGGAAGGTTTTGTTGATGGTGAAGCAACCCACATCTTTATCATTGTCTGCACCAGCTTTCTTGGAGAAGAATGTGCAAGGGCCTTTTGCATGGACACCCCACATACCAGTCTATTTCACTTAAAGATAAAACAAGGCCAAACAAAGCACCCAGGTACACTAACAGCACAGACCCATGAACAGAACAACGGCTCTTAAGGTTAACATACTGCCTCCCGAGATACAACCTGTTACTTTGGCACTGCTAGAGTCTGGAGACACACCCACCCAAAAAGAATAACTTATAATATCAACTCTAGGACTAGGGGAGGTAGGAAGAACATGAAGAATAATGGTCTTTTGGTACCAAGAAGAGCAGAGAGGCTGATTAGATTTCACAGTCTGTTCCCAAATGATATTTTATACTTCTCCAACTCAGAGAATCTAACTATTTGTATTTGAATATGAGCAATTTTCACCAATAAACCCCCTCTTTTAAAGAGAAAAATATTGATTCTCTGGTCATCAGCTAGTCCAATTTTGTATGTTTCAATATTTGGTTGCATTTGTTTAGGGCAACGTTCAGTCAATAAAATACCTAGCTCTGGACAATAGCTAGAGGGAAAAAAAGAATCTACAAGCAGTTTGCAAAAAAACCCAGACTGTTATATCTGTTTTGTCAAAGTGTTAAAGACAGAGAGTCTTGCTTCTTCAGCAACTCTATAATATAAACATTTAGAAGCCCCTTGTCAATCTTTTGATCAACAGCTGTGCAGGTCAACTGAAAAGGATTTGCAATCTAAAAATCAAGGGAGATAAGAAAGCAAACACAATTTAAAGAGATGCAGCAATTCAGACAAGGTATTTTAAAAATGGAGATGACATTGTATGGAGTATTAGAAATGGCCCATACATGTAAATAGCTAGATCTTATGGAAAAACAAGTCACATGGCATGAAAAAACATCATGTGTTAATTCAGCAGATGATTTACATCAATGGGAAATGGCGCAGATACATATGAATGCAAAGCTGACTGTCATCTTACCACCTCATCCTCCGCAGGCTTGCAAACACAAATTTACATTTAGTGCAGAGTCTCACAATCAGAACATTAATCATGAACACAAGGTTAATAAATCCCTTATTAACATGACCTATTTAAGTGGTAGCACTTAGTTAGCACACACTGTGCCGGCTGTGCAACGCCTAGGGACAGCAGCCCACTACCCTGTCCAAATAGGCAGGGGAATGTCCCCAAGATGATAAATGTCACTTTCCCTTTCTCTCCCCAGGTGTGGTAGAAAAGGCAGGGCAGTTAGGAAAACATGTCAAAAGTGGAGTACTCAAGAAATACAGCACTTGGATTTATTTTAAACACGGCTTATAATGCCAGACAGATAAATCAATAGGGTAACTCAAATAATAAACACACAATTACCATTTCAACTGGAGAGTAAACTGGGTAAAATGTGTCTGTGGCAACTGCCTAGATTTTACCATTTAGGTAACGGGGGGGTGGGGGAGAAGCTTGCCTATCAGATACCCATTCTTTGTAATAAGAATTCAGATAGAAAGGGCCACATATGTTCTTTGACCTGTGCAGAGAACTTTCACTGATGTTAATAGTCATGAAGATGAGTGGAAGGTAGCATGAGGAAGCAGGAAATTAGAATGGATATTAATTTCTACTGTTCCAGTTCCACTGGCAATGTTGGTACCGAGTTAGGATCTTAGAAACTAGTAAATATATTAAGCAGGAAATAACCCCTTTCATTGCCAGCTTTATAGTTCCGAAGTAAAGGATGATCAGGCGCTTACCTCATCCCCATCTTCAGAATGGGTAGAAAGCTGGTCATGCTGGATGATCTCTGCATCCTCTTCAGTTGGTCCATTGCCCACCCGGATCCCACCGAAGTTGTGAGTTCCCTAAAATGTGAACAAAGAGAAAGAGCAGAGTGTTGCTGTGGTTTAGTGAGACACTTGCGGGGGGGAAATCAGAGAATGCATTTTGTACACCTCCAGAAAGCAGCAGCAGCTCAAAGAAAACCACATATTAAATGTTAAGAGTCAAGGCACAAACATGTTTCACAAATGGAGTATATTGCTCTTCCGGATCGAGTGGGAAACACGTGCTCATAACTGCTGATTCTGAAAAACAATTAAACCAATTCTGAATTAATTTTTGATGTTATAAAGCTTTACACCAAATAATTTCACCTTTGACCAAGAGCCACATTCTCTCAAAGTGACACACAGGCTGAAATTGACGGGTTTTGTGCAACAGTTTGTTAAAAATTTCCAAGAGCTTTCGGAACTCCTGGAATCTTTGACAGAAAGACAAAACTGCTGTGTATTAAATAAATCACTGACTGGCAAATAGCGAAGCAGCATTATCCCACATGCTAACAACAAATCTATATGCTTTCTCCGCACCAATTTGCACCAGGCATGCCCACACCACACATTGCCACGGATGGGGTTGGGATGGGAATCAGTCCTTCTCTTACATGGAAGTTCTGAACTGTGCAAATGATTCCTTTTATAAGCATTTGTTTAGACATTCAGTACTTAAAACACAACCGTCCTTTGGTTCCTCCTCAAACATCAAAGGTCATACTTAAAAAACAGACTCTGTTCTAACTTCACTTGGTCTTAACTGATCAAATTAGTAAAGTTAGGGCTGCTTCATTTTGCAAGTTAAAGTGTAATCATTGTTCAGTTACATGAAACCTGCTACAGGCTTCAGACTCCAAGTAAACAACTAACAACATCAATAATGACACACAGCCCATTCACTGTTTGACAGGTTCTCTTACAATAGCGTTTTCAGGCATTGTAAGTGGAATTTAGAAAGATAATGAAAATCTAATTTGCACTTAACCGTATTTTCAGGATTCTAAACTGCCAGCAACCAACCTTTGCCCACTGTAGGTAGATTTCTATTATTTTCGTTCAAAAACACCCAATAACATGGAGTAAAATACTTATTGGCAATCTGAGACTCTACTTTATATGTTCAGAACTTTAACACTTGACAGACCTAAAGGGTGCAAATATAAAATGCAGTGAATATATGATGTGACCTACAACACTAGCATCTTGGCCCGGCTTGACAAAGCCCTGGCTGGGATGATTTAGTTGGGAATTGGTCCTGCTTTGGGCAGGGGGTTGGACTAGATGACCTCCTGAGGTCCCTTCCAACCCTGATATTCTATGATTCTATGATCTGCCCTTAGAGAGTGGTGCATTTAGCAGTTATAGGTGTGCATATAGTAAAGGTGATTTTGGAAAATTCCGATAGAACAGGAAAAGTCAATTGGATACGACTTATTTAGGTGCCTCTCTCTATAATAACTAGGGTCAGAAGCATTTCAGTGTTGACATAAACAAATATTTTGGGGGTATGGAATGTAAACAATGTGGCTTTTAAATTCAAAAACATTATAATTTAAGGATGACTATGAAAAACAAAGAAGATCAAACTTAGTGTCCTCCATCTCTGTTTTCATAGTTCATCAGGATTCTGGTAATACAGAGCAATAGTCTAACATGCTTGCTTTTCTCACATTAATGCATTGATTATTAGTATAATGCATTTATAAAGACTGGTTTTCAAAGCCTTGTTTTTGTCTTGATACAATTTATTGTTAGGCCAGGCGTCAAACTTGGAACAGATTTATTTAATTCTTGTCAGATTACCTCCAAATACACTCCAGACATCTTACTTTAATAAAAACAGAAAACAGAAAAAAGTGACACACATTAAGATAGTAAGAAGTATACTTCTAGGTAAGAGCGAAAAGGCTTGTGTTTGGATTCTGTTTTTGAAACTGGTATCAAAGTGGACCAAAACTGAGTGTTAGATGGTGTTCTGCTAGTCACATTTCTAGGCACTGGAGATTTGTGGTCATGAGTTATTTCATCAAACACATGATTAGCATACAGCTTTTTCTCATGCACTTGGCTAATGTATATTCTCTTTGGACTGGTGTCAATAGAGCCATGACATTTTCCATCACATGGGGATCTGACCCTCCACTGTGCATTTGACAGGATTGTGTTAGAAGAGGTGTGGAAATAGCCTCATTCACAGCTGGCCTTTTTACACACTTAATACATTTGATGGATCACACACACACACAAAAATGCAATTTTCCAGATGTTTCTTAACACTTCTGAAAGATTTTTGCAAGGCTATTATTAAAGATTTGTTATGGAAATGTTTAATATCTAAATATTAAACCTGATTTTCAGTTGATCACATAGTACAAGACTGAATGCAAAATCCAATTCAGATCATTTATTTGCATGATTTAGTCTCTTTGGAGAAAGAGGCCACATTTCATGTGTGTGACAACAACTTGAAATATGTCCTTCTGGTGAAGCAAGCCATGAAGGCTGCTGCACTCACTAGCTGGCAGTGGACTCTGGCCATGGATGGTAGTTAATAGATTTACACATAGCTCTGTTTGGTACACAGCCATTTCACGGGAACGTCGGGTTCTGCAAGTCCCCATAAAGAAGCAGACACAAAAATCCATTAACTGTTGATGCGAAGCCACAGGGTTAGTGCTGCGGAGAGGACCACACATACGTATGACTTTTTGGAGTATGGAATGTAAACAGAAAGGTTTCAAACAGAAGAGGTCAAATCTAGTTTATAAAAATAAATATGCAAGAACGTAAAACAAGGGGATTTCATCTTGGAGGTCTGAAGACAAGGCATTCTTGTGAGCTAGGATCTCCCCAGCACTTTCCCGAGAAGGGTCTTTGCATTACAGGGTCACTTAGTTATTCTCTTTCATTGGTGTGTATGGCTATTTAGGAATGCATCACAATTCTATTGAGGGTACTGGAATTTATCTTGCTGAGACAGGGACTGCTTCACCACAGGGGGATCTCGTTAACCACTTCCGAAGTGCAGATAGCTATAAAATATTCCAGAGGTTATGGAGTGTAATTCCAACTCCCCATCTTTAAATCCGTCACGTGATTTTAAAGCCACTCACTGTTGCAGCCGCTGCTGCCTCTACTGCCTGCGCGCTCTGGACTGTGCTGACTTGGCCCTCCATGGGTTGCCCTTCCTGATAGTGAATGGAAGAAAGAAGGGGAAAGAGGAAGAAAAACAAAAGAGAAAGGGAGACGAATGGAGGGGACATGGGAGGATGAAAGATGGTCAGAGAAGGGAGAGGGAGTGTCTTTAACTGAACTGTACTTTGACGGACTGTAACATCCTAACAGTTGTCTGCCGTACATGCAAGGAGAATTTTCAAGTAGCTCAGTGCATGTATGCCAGGTTCCTACATTTTATCGATACATTTAAGTACAGTTGCATAGCCACAAAAGACAAAGATATCCTAAGAGATAAGCTCCCACATTCACAAGCAAAGATTAGTCTCCTTTTTAGATCCAAACTCCTTTAATCAGATTGATGACATTACTGTCGACCAATTCACTATTAATTACATCTCTGCTTCTGCACTTTGGCCACCAAGGAAAGGCACAGAAACAAGTTCAATAATGGATGGCTTCTGTACTCCTACATGGGCTGACAGTACCCAAGCGGGATGTATTTATTTTACAATAGTATCTACACACAGGTTTTCTAATGCAGAATCAGAGCTAGATCCAGATCTTAGAGGCAAGCAGGCATCACCTCGTGTCCGGTAAAACCCACTTGTCTTACACACGCAAAGGGGTTTCAGAGGTCATGCCCCAATGTGAACCTATGTATCCGAGATCAAGATAGAGCCTACAGCTTTTGAACTACTAATAGTTGTAATCAGAAATACCAAAAAACAGTCACCCACCAAATGCTTTCTCCTTAAATATTGATGGCGAAGGACCAAGGGTTTAACTACCAGCATCCATGGCACACACAGCAGCGCAACAACCACCAGGAAGCACTGAAGCCCTATCTGTGGAAAAAACAGAGACATGGTACAAGGTGATGCAGCGAATGTTCCATTCCTGCTAAGGTACTTTACAGAACAGGTCTCATGCACATTGCAACTTTCAACTGTGAATAACTCCCATAAACAAGTGTTTCCCTGGTACACAGATCCTTCAGATCCTGTGATAACTATCGCTTCCCAAACCAGCAGACTGAACTGTTCTTATTGTTTGTCTGAAGCTGCAACACCTCAGGCTGTGTTCGCAGCAGACTGTACCCCCTAAGCAAGGGAGGCGTGGTCATCACTCGGGTTAGAGACCTCTAAGTGGATTTGCAGGCAGAGGCCGTTTGGCAGGTGGCACTCTCTTGAGTCTGTCCTGGACTAGTGTCTTAGCACAGAGTTAGATGGCACCATGCTACTGAAGTGGACATAAAAAAAGTAAGTCCTAACCACTTCTGGTTCCTAAAGAACCCAAGGTACTTTGTGACAAATAGGATAGGGTATTTGGTGTCTTGATCATGCTCAAGATCTGATAGTTACTTTCAGGAAGACCTGGATTCTTCCTGGAGAAGTTACTCTTTGCTTCCCTTCTTGAGGATGTTGTGTAATGTTTTGGTTCAAAACTGTTTGTTTTCACTCCCAGGGTAGGAACACAATTGCCACAAAAAGAGCCTCTCTAACACCTCAGGATGCTTCAGGATAAAGTGTGCTACCCTAAATCACTAGGTTCTTGTTTCATGTTTTATTTCCTCTGCAGTAGTTAAGCTCTTTGGAGTAAAAGCCTCTCTCTCATATTACAAACCATCATTCACCCTGTATCATTGTAGTGAGACCACATACCTGTCCTTTATAAAGCATCTTGATACTGGGATCGGCATAGGAGAAAAGAAACATGTTGATAAAATGGATTAGAAGGCTTGGTGCATCCTTTGAAGAGTGAGCATCATAGGCCGACCACTTGTAGAAAATTAGGATAACAAGGTAGCCAAACAATGACGACATGAAAATCATTTCAGGAATAAACCCAAGATAGATGTTCAGTGGTTTCTTGAAATAGCTACAGAGAAAGAAGAATTAGAGAGTTTGACATATGTTAGAGCATCACCACATTTGACTGGAGTTAGATAAACTTAATGCAGACTAAGACAGTGAAATTAACTTTTAATGGATAATACAAGAGGAAGAGTCAAAACAAATGAATCTTGAGTTTCTGCATTTCTAACCATCTTCAGAGCTAAATTTTTTATAAGAAATATTTGATATGCAAATATAGTCTCACAGGATGAGACACATACATAATGAAATGTTTCCTGACTAATGAAATAACTCATGTTGAATTCTCTCCATCTTAAAACCTGCTGCAAGATCCACGGTCTTAGAGGCGTAAGGAGTTAGATGAGAAAACCTAAGAATCTAATCTCATCCTGATAAATCTAATACAGACATTCTGCACTAGTATAAGTGTATTGTCCTAGTAAAAACAGAACACAGAGCACTCACATGTGGTTGAGAAGGCTCAGTGTGACACCAAAAAGCATGTGGATGATGCCAAGAATCACAGACATCTTCATCTTAAAGGAGTTGAGGAAGTTCAGCTTGTTGCTGGCAATATTCCAAATCTGTCACAAACAACATGGATTCAATCCGAATTAATGAGCGAAAGGAAGACAGATGAACCAAAGAAGCATTTACTTATGTTAAATTGCACAGCACAAGATAGCTAACCAGGAACAGAAAATAGGCACAGACAAACACTATACATTTTACAAACACATTTTAAAATAAAACATTCAATCATCTGTTGTTTCTTCACTTACCAGCCAACATCAAATTCAGGGACTGTGGTTTCCCTTGTAACAGCTGATCTTATCAGCACCTAAGCAGAGCAAGGTCTGAGCCTTGCTCACTTTCAAGGTGGCCAGCTGTGGCAGGAGAAAAACTGAGAGCTCCAATCTGTGATGTTGCCAGAGAAAGAATCTTGCAGTTCCCTTTTTGAATACAGTTCTGGCCTCTAACACCAGCATACCCCTCTAACGTCAAATGCAGGATCAGTTCAAATGCAAATAAATTCTTAAGGGCAGTTTTCTGAATCCAGGTAGCTTATAAAGAGATAAGTCAAATGGTGTTACCCGGAAATACACATTTCCAAGGCACGTGGGTGGCTTTTAGCAGAAGAAGAGACAACAAGTTTACTAGGAAATGCATGACAGGCTCTCAAGCCTAATGCCAAACCTAACTCCAGTGCTGTGGGATACTGCAGCACTAAAGAGCTAGGTAAAGGGGGTCAACGAAAGAGACCTTCAGAACTCCTCCTGGTCACCATTTCAGTACCCAGAAGCCATCACACTAATAGGTGACATATTAGAGATAAGTAATGGAACCCACTCCCACTTCACCGTGCATCCCAGTGTTTTCTGCAACAGTTACTGCCCCGAGTTTGCTAAGAGAACACATACACCTTTAGCTTTTTTAAACCATGCTCCAGAAAGTTACAGTTACATAAGCCAGAAAAGTGTCTAAGGCCACGTGTATCAGAAGGAAGAACTCTTACCGGGTCGATGCCAAACGGATACGGTCCACCAAAGACCCCTGCCACGGCAGGATCCAGCTGCAGGACAGCGGTGTTCTGAAGCAACTCTTCTCTGTTTGGGTTCAAATAGATATAAAGCTTTACAAACTGTAAAAATTGTACTCAACAAAAAATATGAGAACACAGAACACCAGCTTCCTCCTGATCCGTGAAGGGGAAGTGCATCTCAGTACAATGAACGGGAGCATTAGTTATCCTTGTGCCACTTGGGAACCTGCCTAACGAACCAACGTTTCAGCCTCCACATGCAGTTCAACGCCCATGTGAGACTTAGGGCAGGACCTTCCTGCCTGAATCTGAATAACCAGGCTCTTTGGCAAGACAGCTAAATAACTATTTTGGGTGGAAGGGGATCACCAGTGAAATGCACACATAGGAGGAAGGGAGGAAAACTACAGGCAATTTTCTTTCCATGCATTTTAATAGTGCGTCTAAGGCTCTGTTGGGAGAGCTAGACCAGGAAGAGCCAACTGACACCCAATTTATCCAAAGGCCATTTTCACTTAAACATCTGCAGCTCTTTGTATTTCTTTTACACAGCATGTGGCTTCGCTCCCCCAAGAAACGTTTCCTAAAGAAAGAACACTGCTGAGGTTCCTGCTATGCATACATTCCTATGCAATTTCAAACCCTGAAAAATGGATTCAGGAACTCAGCCCTATGGTTTTACTTCTCAAGCACCTAATTACTTACGTCCAGTTGCCTTTCGTGAACATCGGCCGGACGCTCCACGATGAGCCAAACATATTAAGTGCTTTGGAGAAGCAGTCATTGTAGATAAGGCCGGTGTACATGGAGAACACTCCCATTAGCAGAATGATGTACCGACCAGTAAAAATGGTGTTGAACATCTGTTTAATAAAAGAGTCAGTGAGGACAAGCACACACAAAAACAGAGGCTGAAACCACCCAATTCCAGGGCCCAGGCTGCCAGTCCTGTACTAAAGCCACTGAGCCTTTGCCATTCTATGGCAAGAAATAAGGATGCAGGGATTACAACCACAAGGACGACGCAAACTGAGCCCGGAGGACAGATGGCCAGCCTACCAGAGTGGATTAGGTGGGGCTGTCTCACCTTCCAGCTCAGGGGACGTACACAAAATATCACATTTGATGAAATTTCTTAAAATTTCAGTGTGAACAGGTGCCGGGGAGATAGTCAGAGCCTGGGCAGGTGCTGTAACAGCTTCCCCCATGTGTTTCAGTCCTCACAGATCTGTTCATCAATCCAATGCACGACCAATTTAACCAAGTTATGGGAATGTTTAGGACAGTGGGCCGTGAGTGAGAACACATTTGATTGCAGCTTAGTCTCTGGTTTACAACCACCTATCATGGGAACTGGCACCGCCAGTGGTGAAAACCTCACAGATTAACCATCAAACCATGGTCTGTCTGAATCATGGTTTCAGACACTTACATGCAAACCAAAGGAATCCCCACAATTCTGAGAAAGGACATTACTCATCATCTTGTGGTCTATGGACTTTTGTTTGCTATTAGTTTGTTCATGTTCTTGACAAACTGGACGTGAAAAAAAATAGTTGGACTATTGGCAGTTGGGGGGGGGGGGGAGAGGAGAAGAGGATCAATTTAGGTCTCTTTGCTTTAATACAAAACTGAGCTTGACATAGCTCTTTACCTCATTGTCATTCTTCTGTGACAGAATGCGACTTTCCCTAACCACCATCCACACGGCAATTAACGTCATCAGGATTCCATGGCCAAAGTCTCCAAACATCACAGCAAACAGGAATGGGAAAGTGATAATTGTGTACGGAGCTAGAAGGGAGGGGAAAACAGACCAGACATCTCTCTGTTTGGCTCTCTGGTTCCACTTATTCCATTAGCAATACAATTCATATATTCATTCCCATCTTCCAAACAGGATCAACCTCCACTGGAGATACTGGAAGAAACTACATCATCATCACGGGACTTATAAAAGCAGCTCTGTTCATGTGTGGAAATAAGCTTCCGGCAACAATTAACTAAATTGAAAAGGAAAGACATTTATATCCTCTCTGATGCTGGCAATTGCTAGCCAATCTCCCATCCTCCTCAAGTCTCCAATCTGTGCCCATGCTGACTGCGTCTTCTTTCCCAACACATCCATGATATTTCACCGTAATCATCTTCCCTGTGGAATCCGTGGATACCCCACCATCAAGACACTGAGAGGTAGGACGACTGAAGACAGGCTCTAGAAAACCCATCTGGAACAACTGTGCACTGATCACTAGTCTGGGCTGCGCAAGAGAGAGACTGGACTATGTGTGACCTCAATCATCTCTGCCTCTCTCAATGGTAAGAAACGCTTTTCTCTAGTCTCTGGTCCAATTGGTTCCCAGATGACCTGACTGCAACGTCTCATTTTTACTTCTTTAAACCTGGCACATTAACAAGTATCCTCAGTCGCTAGAAACAACTACTTGTGCTACTTCTAGGAGATCACGGAAACAGATTGAAATTGCCACCTTCACACAAACCTGCAGCAGCTTGATGGGATGCAGTTGGTCAAGTACCCGGAAGCTACAAGGTACTAAACCTTTTAATCTAAACACAAATATGACTACAAGGGGAGAGGAGAAATTAAGTCATTCACACCTTTAATTTATAGAATACGACAGATTGCTCTTTTGGAGTACCTCCAACTACCAGGAGTGCAAATTTAGAGTTAGTAAAACTTGATTTTTTTTTAAATGCTCCAACGAGCCCTATCAGCCAGTCAAAAAGGTCAAGCACCTCTTTATACTCGATCATGTCTCTGACGGTTAGATGCAGGTTTGATGGTAAAAGCAGGTTAGACAAACACCTGTCAGGGATAGTCTAGATAATGCTTAGTCCTGCCATGAGTGCAGGGGACTGGACTAGATGACCTCTCGAGGTCCCTTCCAGTCCTATGATTCTATGACCTATTTCTACCGGCTGTTATATTCTGATCTGCTAAATCCACACCTGCCTTGAGTCTGGATTTTGCGGCCCAGTGCTCTTGTAAAGTGGCCTGCCTGCATAAAGCAGACTACCATCATGACAATTTAGCCTGAAATCAAAGTTTTCTGATAAGACTGATCTCAGAGCACTTCTGCATTTGCCACTCCAGGAAATGCATTTTACAATCATCTTCGCTTTGAAATCTACCTCACGGTTTAGTGCCCAGAAAATAGCTCTTTGCTGGCAAAAGTTTATCATTAAGACAATTTTGAGCATAATGGGGTAGATTCTGCATTAACGTACAGATGATTGGGCCTATACATTTTCAAAAATAGCCAGCAATAACGTTGGTTTTACAATTCACAGTAAGAGGCTACGCTTGCTCAGACAGCTGAGTCAATCCTGTGCAAGAGCTTTGCATATCAGGAGAGAGACCAGGCCACCCAGTCACCAGATCAGAGGGATGAACAGGCAGATTGCGTGTTTACCTGGATTTATCTCCCGGTAAGTTCCAATGCCATATGCGTCTACTATATTCTGAAAGCCAGAAGTGAACTTGTTGGTTTTGTTGTAAGTTGGCGGGGTCTGATTGGTTTGCATCCTATTCAGGATGGATGGAACAGTGGATCCGCTGTGCTCCTGTATTAAAAACAAACAGAAACTGAGATTAGTGGTGACTCCTTCCCTAGACAAGCCGAGTACAGAGGGGCAGGTTTACTTCTCATTGGCATCAGGAAAGCTGCAGGGAACTTGCATGTTTGTGGTCCACTTGCACAATGCAGGAACACACTGCAGCCTTAGGAAAAAGTCCCCCCTGCCTTTGTGAGCCCCCTGTGTGCCCCCCGTCCAATATTCTCCCCCATTCTGATTTCTCCTGTCTGGGACATAAGTCACAGGCATTAACGTTTAGGAACTGTACTGGGAGGATGGGCAGCACTGAGGTGGGGGCATATGCAGGAATCTATTAATGACTCCCATCAACTAGTTCTTTGATCTATAGCCAATTACAGAGGTGGCTGCGGCTGCTGGCTCTGCTAACCAGATGCCAGGGACTCCGCGTGTTCCCCATTCTGATTTTCCAATTTTCCCCAAAGCCAATAAGGTTCTCTCCCCTGATGCCTAGAACATTGCCTGACATTTTGGAATTGATTGGACGGACAGTCAAAAGTTATTGCATTGCCGAGCGACAGAAATGCTGTAAGAATGGAGCTTGGCCAGACAGGTCTGTAGGCGAGTCAGTGTGCTACCGTGCCTGACACGCCACTAGTCACGTCTCATCAGCTGGGAGTCGAGCACACAGGTCCCAGGTTTCACCACTCACTCAGACATGGCACCTACACAGCATCTGACTTGCTTAAGAGGCAGATCTGACGGACGAGCCATTATTTGAGGCTCAGTGCCTGCTGCTAAGAAGCATAAAAGCTTCACTTCAAAACTGTGTCTATCTGAGATCACAATAGAAAAGCACGTCGATACTGGAAAATGATTTTGCGCAGAGGGTGTGTTCCTGTTTGATCATGAATCGAGGCAAGCACCCTAGTCCTATGAGGAGAGACTATACAGGAATCTAGATTAAAGATCTTGTTTGCTTTTATGGTTGAAGGGCGTCAGCTCAAAGAAAGATGGTGTGAGTACGGGAGAAGGATTCAGAACGAGGGGAGCCAATCATCCAGGGCCTGACCCTCAAGGAGTTCAGAACCCAAAAGCATGTTCGGGTTTTGCAGGAGGGAGACCTATAGGTCAGGAAGTAGCTCGGCAACTGATGGGGAAACTGGTGGGTTTCATAAAAATGCTGACGCCAGGAATCGTATTTCACTGGTGGACTTTGGGTCTCTGAGGAGGGACGTGTTTCCTGTGCCAGCTGCCAGGTTCCCTCCAAGCATTTCTGGAGGGCAGTTGGTGGGTGGGCTCCTTATTGGTTGGGCTTGCCAACTTGCAGAGCTCCAGTCACCTCTGTCCAATGAGCAGAGTCAACCCAAGCTGCAAGCAGATCAGCAGACTTGCCCAAGCAAAGGAAAAGGCGCAGATATTGTTCTGGATAAGTTATCTCCATGTTTTGACTTTATGGCATTACATGCCCATGCCCAGGCAAGCAACCAACTCTGGAGCATCCCCAATATTTGTTCAGTCCATCGCTCCAACAGCCAGCATGTTCTGGAGCTCTGGGTGAGTGCTTTTCTGGTAACCATTGTTGCTACAGATTAAAAAAAAGTGTCCTCTATGAAGGTTGCCATTTTTATATACAGCCTAAGGGCTGCCTTTCAAAACTCCACAGTCCAATCTGGCTCCTCAGGTGCAATGATTCGTCAGGGTTCAGCTGGCTGAAGGAGGCTGGTCTGGTGAGACTTGCATGGGAGGTAAGTGACAACTGCTGCAGTTCGAAAGCGAGGAGATACTCACGGTGCCTCTTCTGAGAGCAAACTGGATGGAATCGAGGTCAGCGACAGGGCACCAGACTTCAGCAATCAAACACTTCTGGGTCACGTCAATGTTACACAGGTTCAGGGTATGGTAGATAGCCTTCATCTTCCGCACTTTGATGAACCAGACACGGATATTTTTAGCAGCTGCCTGCAGGACCCGCTGGCGATGATCCTCCGTTTGGTTCAGCACCTTGCATGGAAAAGTGGGACAAAGACAGCAGTGAGGGATTCGGTTGCAATTTGTAGCGCACAGTAGGGTACAACACAATAGCGGCTAGTGGCCAGGGCATATGGACAAGCCTGAGAGCCCAACGCCCCCTCACTGCTCCATGTTTGGAACATGCTCTCTAGTCTCCTCACATGCACCCTAGGTTAGCCAAAAGCTACTCCTGGAAAGCAATATGCAAAACAGCTCTAGCCCATTTTCCTCCCGCCCCACCTCACCCCCAGCAGAGAATTCCAAGGGAAAAAGGGAGTTGTTCAGATTCCCAAGTGGAGATTTTTTTTCTCCACCCAGCTTTAACTGACATTTGCTTTAGAAGCTGCAGAGAAATGACTGCGTGCTGTGCACTGCAAGAGCTCCACCTTGGGTGATAGGAGACGCAGGGAGCTTATGTTTAAAGGGTCAGAATTCATTCACATTTGGCTCTCAAAACTGGCTGAGCAGAGGAAAAAAGAGAGAGTGTTCTTTGGCGGGGTCTGACTGGAATGTGCCTCCAGATCCGGCCAAGACCGTTTCAAAGACTGTAAAGCCTCTCAAGTTCAAGTGGAAATGGCAGTATGCGACAAAGCGATCATGTGCAGCCTGGAACTCGGTTGCTCCTGCATTCTCGCCCATTTTCTGATTGCTAAGCAACTGGTCTCAGCAGCTTCATGCTAGGAGAGTTGGCATCTGTAAAAGCAGGGCCCTGCAGTCAACGCCTTTCATTGTAGCTTTTGCATCTGATTCCTCTCTTGACATTTTATTTCCATAAATCTCTCTCTCCATTAAATCCCTTTCAATCTTCCTGATGTGCATCTTGCTTCCCTTTCCCTAGATTTAGCGGTGACAGAGCTGGCACCAGGCAGCTTACAGGTTGCTGATTCAGCTCTCTGCTAACCACTTGTTTATTCATTGCTTTCACTGACACCCAGAGCTGCAGCACAAGAGAACAGTTTTTAATACAGCAGATCTCCAGGACACCGTGCTGTGAAAGTACACAGACAGGCAGAAAACCTCTGGCAGCATGAACTAATGCTGGCCTTTTCATCAATCTGTGAACACAGATTTGACCATTTTCATCTACACATATCAGAGGGGTAGCCGTGTTTGTTGCTTTTTACAGATCCAGACTAAGAGTCCTGTGGCACCTTATAGACTAACAGCCGTATTGGAGCATAAGCTTTCGTGGTGAATACCCACTTTGTCAGACGCTTATGCTCCAATATGTCTGTTAGTCTATAAGGTGCCACAGGACTCTGTTGTTTTTTTCAATCTACAAAGACCCTAAAGAAGAAAGTCTCAGACCATCATGCTTCTAGCTTTGAAGACATACACTCCACTCTTACTCCCTTGCTTGCTAGTGTGAATTTCAATACCAATGCTAGTATTTACACACAGACGGTTATTCACTCAGCCTCCTGGAAAAATTAAACCTCCCTAACTAGGAAGCTGAATGGAACCAAGTAGAGAAACAAAATTATTCTCGGATCTTGCAATTGTTTAATCTCATAGCAGGTTCTCTACCTCGTTTAACTGGAAACTGTTAGCACAAGTCATATCTACATCTAGCCTGGCCAATTAGTCTCAGACAAATGGGATCCACCCTTCGGTTCATGTAGCCACCCAGCACTCCATAGGCTAACGCAGCACTGACTCCATTTGTTCTGCATTATTACCATTTGAAGATCATCAATCCTGGTATTGACTCCAGAAGCCATTTCCTTCCTCTCCTGCGGTGTCTCTGGGCAAGGGTAGAGGGAGGCACGGAACCTGAATCGTTTAAGACAAAAAGCCAAATTGATACATCATGCTCAGTAAAGGAGTGTTTTAAGATAATGGGCTTTGCCAGTGAAAATGTCTAGCCGTCATTCACCAAGGCAGATGGCTACAACACAAATTTGCTCAAGGCCAAACCATTATCTGACCACACTGGCTTCTATATCCAAGTCAAGCCCTTGACATTAACATAGTACATTTTGCGGGTGTAAAATTCATTCTGAGCAAGAGAAAAACAACAAAAACTAAGAAAAAATATGTTGAGAACTTAGGCAACAAAACAAGTCTCAACAGCACCTTTAACTAGTAATCAATGGTGCATTCGACTGACAGCTATTACACCAATGTAACTACCCTTCAGAAGCACTGGCTTCCACCAATAGGAAATCATTCATGTTTCTGATGAGAAGCACGAGTTCATTTCAGTATGTGATAACTTGATCGCTTTCACATTTTTTCTATAACAGCAAAAGCAATTCATCCACTTTATGGATTAAAAACTGGGGGTGGCTAATTTGGTTGTCCAACAAACTTCAGTAACACATCATGTGCTGATGTTTATTAGGTTTACTATGTCAACTAAGGATTTCTATTATGCTATTCTTTGCATCATCCTAGATTTTCTGATTAATACAGGCTTAAGGAACTGTTAAAGTACATATTAAGACACTCCATTTGTTTTTCAAGATGCATTACAAATATAATATATGAACAACCTGATTTTCAGAAGTGCTGAGCACAGCTGAAAAATCAAGCCGCAAGCGTTTTTAAGTCTGATTTCTTCTTACCCTTCACAGATTTTCTTGACTCTATTTTTTAGCTGATCACCTTGGAAAAAAATAATAAACACAGACTTGTGCACGTAGTCTCCCTAGAACAGACAAACACAGATGCAGTGTAAGACCCGAGTACTATACAGGAACTAGCTATTATAGCAAATTACCACACAGCTCCGTATTTTCCCTGTTGCATGTACAAATATACAGGAAATTATAGCTGCACGCTGAGTCAAGAACATACCCTAACACGGTCACAAAAAACTCACTTTGAAAGGAACTCTCTCTTAGCCTTGGTCTACACTGGGGGGTGGGGAAGAGGAGACAAATCTAAATTACGCAACTTCAGCTACGTGAATAACGTAGCTGAAGTCGATGTACTTGACCTACTCACTGCAGTGTGCTCGCTGCGGTGAGTCAACTGCTGCCGCTCCACCGTCAACTCTGCCTGCGCCTCTCGTGGCGGTGGAGTACAGGAGTCGACGGGAGAGCGCTTGGGGGTCGATTTAGCATGTCTAGACTAGACGCGATAAATCGACCCCCGCTGGATCAATCGCTGCCCGCTGATCCGGCAGGTAGTATAGACATACCCTTAGTTTAGAGGTCTCTTCGTACTAGAGCTAAGTGCTCTAAATGCTCTATTTGCTTATCAGAGCTATACAATCTGTGCAAGAATAAATTGAAAAATCATGGGGAAATCAGAAGTTTTTATTGCTTAACATTTGGCTGCAGTTAGGTGTGTATCACTATCTCTTCCAGCCAGCCCCACTCTGACTTAAAGCAGCAAGTAAAAGAATGAATGGAAATAAGGTGATGTATGTGGTATATTTAATTACAAGAATGCCCAGGGCCTAAAAACCTGGAATTCTCCAGGGAGGTTCACAGCACATTCTTTGTGCAGCTGTTTGGATTTAGATATTAACAAATGCAGGAAAGGGGAGTTAGATAAGATGTTGTTCTACCTTACATAGGAAATTTAGCTTCATGTTTCTGAGAATAATTACACTAGATGTAACCTCATTGTCCAACACTTCCTTAAATTAAGAATATAGTCCCTCTCCGGCAGACAGCTGGTTTTCAGTTCAGCAATCAGTAGAGCAACACAGCAACCAAATTCACAGGGAAAACAGGACATAACTGAATGATATTTCCAATCTTTATTTCACTGCAGCCCGCAGTCCTCCTTTTGCTAATTCTTAACTGAAGCAGCTATGGAGCTGCAGAGTTTCCAATGTTTGGGTACTATACATCAGTGTATGCCATTAACAAAATAAAATAAGCATCCTTCCTAGTCCGAATGTTTACCATTTAAATTGTAAGGAAGGCCAACAGAACTAAGAGCTACTGAAAGACCTTGAAGCTCACATTTGGTGACCATCTTTAAAAGATTAAAAGGAAAGATTTTTTTAAAATAGTGCAAAAAAAAAAACTCCAAATGAGCAACAGATTCTATACAGAGACTTCCAAACTGGTCACCACTACCACCCAAACAAGGCAAGAGGTGCTCAGCCTCCGCTGCAGAGAGGAATAATACTTACACAGTACTGTAGATGGGCATGGCACTTCAGTAAAGGAGTCCCTATCCCAAAGAGGTTACAAGTGAAGGCCCTGATCCTGCAACTCTAGCCCTAAGACAAGAGGGGATGACTAACACAGGGAGCAGGCAGGGAGGACCGTAGTGAAGACAGTGCAGTCATGCACGTCTCAAGAACATGCAATGTCAGTGAACATGCAATGCAGGTGAAAAACAACTCTGAACTCAGGCTGTTTCAGGGAGAACCCGCTTCTCAGATACAAATGCCTTTGTTATTTCCGGACCTGATCCTGCAATGAACTCCATGCACGTAGATAGGGTGAAGAGGCCCACCCTCACAGAGCTCATTGCAGGATCATGGCCCAAGTCTGACTGTACATTTGTTACTCATTTGGGATCTCATAGTATTTTGCCTCCATGAAAAGCAATTAATTTTACCGTCACAGGATCCTCCAGAGGGATTTCGATTTCAGCCTGACGCAGGAACACGTTTCCTCGACACACTCGCCACAACATGCGCTCAAAGGTAGGGATTCGCTCACGGTTGATCACGCCAGCCACAAATCTGCATGAGGCAGAAAAACTGTGGATTAGGTTGCTGCCCCTAGTAATGTTTGTAGAGCACAGGCACAAAGAACCTGGAGCTGCAAGAGGTTAACTGGAGGCTAGCTAATAAATCAAGGTTTAAAGCTACAAAATCCAGCTGACTTGTTTTTGGTTAGTTCTATAATCAAAATGGGATGGACGGACGGATGCAAGCACGCACACAGGAAACAGCTAGAACATGTCAAAGGCTGTATCCTCCATCCACTTTGAGAGCAAGCCTTACTGTCCGCAGATTAAGTACCGTACTTACAAAGTAAAAAGCACTTTACAGTTTGAATGCATTAGTTTCCCCTTCAGTCATAGGACTTCCAGGCCTGTTGCTGTCAGTTTCACCGGTAACTTCCACGCCAAGGACTGTACAAGGCAGGAAGGGCAGCAACAGGCTACACAGCTTTCGAAGACCACAGGCATTTGCTTTAGAGGAGACCACTGGTGCAAACTCCTAGGTCCAGCTAAAGTGGTAGGACAAAAGTGCTTATGGCTTCTACATTTCTGTCACAAAGGTGACCTGGAATCAACTAATGAAAAGGGATAAAAATAAGTGGCCTTATTGTCAAAGATGCTACGCTCCTATTGACTAATGGAAGCTCTGAATTTTCTGTAAGCTTGAAAATCAGGCCTCAAATGCTTACGGAATAGGCTAGCTCTAGGTTTCTGTGCTGGTATGCAAGACACCAGAGAATGACTTCCTCTTTCAGCTACTTTCTCCCTGGGCTAGCAGGGGCTGGAAAGTTAGCAGATGAGGGGCGGGGAAGGATAGAGACCCTTACTAGGTGATTGTGGATTGACACTGATAGGGTGGAGGTCCTCGGGGCTGTGTTTGAAGCCCTCTGGATTCCAGATGGGAGTGAACAATTAAGGCAAACAGACAAAACAGAAAGTAGAAAAGTTGTTGTTACCCAAGTCGCAGAGGGGCAGCTCTTCCGATCTCACTTGGCTCCAGGAGCGAAGAGGATTCCTCCAGCAGGTCTGGATCCGCCATCTGCTGATGATGCAATTCAGCCTGAATTCACAAATCAATTAATATCTAATGAAACTAGTTAGTGGCATGCAGGGAACGAGGAACCAGGAGACAGTTTCCAGGAGGGGGGGGGGAATACCCCCAAAGGACACCAAAAAAAGAAAATGAAATAACAGAGACCAAGGGTCACACAAGGGAGGGGAAAAACAAGAGGTAAGCAGAATGGCTCAGCAAAGCTTCTGGGGAAAAGGGTCGGGAGATTGCAAAAGAAAAACAAGATGCTTGTGGGATATATAATTCTGCAGATGGGTGGAAGTTCGATTTTACCCAAAGTTATGTTCCCAGAAATGTTCCTAACTTTTTGAATATGGTGTAGAGTGACCCAACATGCTTCCATCACTACTTTCTGAACTTAGGGAAAATGGATGAAGAGAGGTACTGATAAATATTCATGTATGTACCGTACTGCTGCTGCGTTTCAGTGCATTTTCTATATATTTACCAGCGGCCACGGGCGTTGCAAACATGGGTTGCCTTTTGAAGTGGAACAGCAGTCAGGATTCTTTCACTCTCTCAAATTCAGTCCACTCTGGCCAGATTCAGAAGAATGCTGCCCAGGCAAGATTTCTGTAGTAGGTCCAGTTGATTAAACCAGAAGGAAAGTTTGCTCTTCTGCTGCACCCAAGACTGCATGCTTTACAGAACTTTAAACATGACAATATCCCACGGAGGAGCACACGTAGTATCATTTCATTCTAAAGCTGGGTGACCTTAGCCTAGTCCCTTCACCTCTCAATGCGAAGTCAGTGGCAGAGCCAGTAATAAAACCGGAGAGTCCCGGCTGCTAGATGTCCTGTCTATCCAGGACCCGGACTCTCCCTCCATACGCGCACAATGCCTATAACTTAAAGAATGCATTTTTGAGAGTGAATACCCCTTTTTTCCCCTTGTAAGATATTCAGCACCTAGATAAATATATATGGCAGTGATGTACATAGACCTAATACCACCAACTATGCCAGTGCCACCAATTCAAAACAAGCACAATACTTGACTTGCTGGTCATCATGGAAAGGGCCACCCAAATACAGGAGAACCTGCTTCAACACTGGAAATAAAATTCCCTGACCGCACCCCCCGAGTTGTCACCTACCATTCCACAATGGAAGCCATGTGGTGTATCATCAAACAACTACAACCCACACCTGAGGGGGGTCACATCTGAAAAGAAATCTTTCCTGAACTCCCTCTTCTTGTCTTTGAATAACCCCACAACTTCACCAGGCTCATCATCAGAAGCAAGCTCCCCAGAAACCAAGACACACTCAAAGCGGCATCAGACCCTATCAGAGTAACAGATACAAAATCTGCAGATGTACCTCCACTGCTACAATGATCAATACCCCCACAACAAACCTTTCAAGATTCATGGGTCCTAGACATGCCTGTCACAACATGCAGTGTACCTCATCGAGTGCATCTAATGCCCCAACAACAACTATATGGGTGAAACCAGACAATCGTATGCTCTCAAATTAACTCCCACAGAACAAGGATAGACGACAACACCACCATATCACTGGTGGGTGAATACTCTTCACAAACCAATCACTCCATATCTGATCTTTCAATACTTGTCCTCAAGGGAAACCTGCACAACACCTTCTAAAGGTAAGCCTGGGAACTCAAATTCATAAGTCTGCTAGACACCAAAAACCCAGGGACTTAACGGGGACAATAGTTTTATGGATCATTACAACAATCTGTAAACACACCACACTTCCTACTGCCCTTAATGGCCCAATTCAAACCCTTTATGCATAACAATCTAATGTCCAACTGCCCGCTTCATTTCAAGTGACCACCTCCAACATTCATTACCCCTTCTGCTTGTCTCACCTTGTATTTAGCTCAGACACTCTGCTTCTTTCCCAAGACCTGAAGTGCTCTGAATAGTTTGAAAACTTGTACCTTGGAGCACCAGAAGTTGGTCCAGTACAAGATATTACCTCACCTACCTTCTCTCTCTCTCATATTAAAATGGAAAACTGTAAATTAGTCACAATAAATAGAAAGTAATTTACGGGCTGAAATTCCTGGGAACAGAACTTGCAAATATTAGTGATTCAAATTAGGAAGGATGTTAATACCACATCCTCTCACAGAGCATTAACACAATGCATCAGTAGGAACTCTGTCCCAAAATTTCCACCCCTGCAGTTTATAAAATGAAATGGAGAAATTAAGGAACTCTTCTGTGCCAAAAAGGACTAAATTCTACCCTGAGATGTGCACAGGGTTTCCAATTTATTTCAATGGGTGCTCCCTGCACATACATGAAGGCAGAATTTGTCCCTAAAGATGCAAATTGTGTGTACACTACAGTCTTGTAAAAATGTTATGCAAGTTTACAAGTGCAGGCACAAAATCCATCTGCCCACATATTCTCATAATGAAAAACCCTGGAAAGATATTTTACTTGCCAATCAAAAAAGGTCACTTGTTCTGGGAGAGAATTTTGCCAGGCTGATGTACCACACACAAGATACAGCTCAACTGCCTGCTCATGAATAATTAGCTACAGTTTACAAAAAGTAAAAATAAATGACAAAATTAAGGTAACAATTAGTGTACTTCCAAAGAGCAATAAAGAAATGTTTTCCCTTATAAGCCAATCCATTCCACCATTTTAGGCATTCAATCAAAATAAAAGTAAACTGTGTGGAAACCTTAACGTTTCACAGAGGAACAAGGACCCCAAATCAACACACAGACACCCACCAGACTGAATGACTTTAAAATTACTTTTTAAAATTAAAATGGCACAATTCCTAAATCTAACAAAATTATGGAAAATAAGATCAATTCTACCAAAGGGGCTTGTATTGCATTTGTTAGTAAGAGAATATTTACTGTTGCTAGATTTTTGTAAGGTATGTGTTAGACTAGATGAGGCCTGCCTTATTTTTGACAACACATTTTATATTTCAGAGTATTTGTCAAGGCAGGAGGATAGTTTCTTGCTTAAACACATCTGTGGAAACAGCTCTGGTGCTTGGCTATTAGCTAGGCTAGTCAGGGATGCAAGCCCATGCTTTGGTGTCCCTGAGCCTCTGACTGCCAGATGCTGGGACACAATGACGGGGATGGATCACTTGATAACTGCCCTGTTCTGTTAATCTTGGTAACAAATCCATCTTCTGGCAGGGTCAGTAATTACATGACATGTAACTGTAGAAGGACTATTCAGACTACTGGGAGTTTGTTAGGGAAGGTGAGAGCTGTTCAGACACAATGTAGGAAGATGGAGGACTGGCCATCCCACGAGGTCCTTTCTGATCATAATTTTCACCAGTTTGCAGTAGAGTATCACAGAGCATCAGAACTCCAAAGAGGATTTTATCTTATTCTGAATAACAAACACCCAAGCCTACACTCTCCTATGTATATGACTATATAAATTAGAAAGATGGTGGGAATGACATCAAATAATCATTTAAAGCAATTTTGGAGTATCAGTCTCACAGATTAGGAGTCCCTTAATTTCAAGGCCCAGAATTAGAGATTTAGCCATCTTCCTTCCCTTGATTAGTGAGAAAACCAAATCTCAAATGAGAAACAGCAAGAAACAAGAAGTTCTGCTCTGCAAATGCGCTCGACAGGTGTAAGTAGCACATACAATTCAAGCCCCTTCACCTTCATTTTCACAAGAAACGAAAGGGATTCAATTCACCATCTAATTTATTAATCCAGAGCCCAGAGGGGGATGACAGATGCAAAACAAACTAAAGAAAGCAGATGGTGAGAGGAGTTAGAGGAAAGGGAGACAGGGGACTGCATGCCATTAACCATTACTTTTCCAGTCTTCTTTACGCTCTCATATTCTAGGATGCTTATGGTAAAAGATTCAGAGAAATCTCTCCAGCTCATACTGCTCTTCATAAGCAAAGACAAGAAGACTGAGAAAAGGATCATTATCATCATCAACAATATAAATATATATGTATGTGTTATGTAATGGACAAGAAATGGCTACATTGGAGACGTGTCATTTTGTTCTTTTATGACTAATATTCTATTCATTCTCCCTCTCCCTCTACTGTTTTTCCAGAATGTGCAAAGATTGAGTACAAAGTCATTTCAACTGTGAGCCATTTCTTGTGTAACTAATTACTACGAATAACTGAGAATACACAGACTTTTAGTTACAGATGAAAAATGTCTTCAAGTGTTGAAGGCACCGTGCAAAGATGGTATTTTCAGTGAAGAAATAAAACAGTGATTAGCGATAATAGCTGGACTGCACAATCTAAAGAGTCTCAAGAAGTCTCTCCAAAGGCCGATACCATCCATTGAACATAGGCAATGTGTGTGTGGCGTAAAGTTACGTACACTGTAAACAGAAGTAGTTAGCCCTAAATGTAAAACATTCAATGGAAAGTAACACGAGTATTTATCCTGAGACCGTATCACAAATCTCAATGTGTTATTGCTTTGCTATAATCTATATGCTGCAATGTAACATCTGCTGCTCCAATTGGTTGATAGGAGGGATAAATATTGATATTAATTTTGCCTGGTTGAGGTGGTGAGCCTCATGGGAACACTTGTTACAAATGCCTTTAAAATGGGCAGAATGACCCACGGTTTGTGTTTCAACATTACACGGATTTTGATCTGATTAAAGTGAAATATGATGTTAATAGTGTACCTGAAGAAAAGCATTAGCTAGGTGTTATTTACTGTATACTGTGTTAGTGTAAGTACCCGGAAAAGAGGTGCATTAGTAATGATTTTATATAACACTAATTGCACTTGCTCTATTTTTTCTATATTCAATTAGAACAGGCAGGCAGTAACACTTGATCTACTGCTTGATTGCAGTAAGTAACATCAGGTTGTCATTGTTTGTCCAAACAGACTCACCAAATGGAATCAGCAACTTGCAAACTGACATTCAACACTTGAAGAGGAGATAATCATACAGTACCCAGCCCGCTGGCCGATCACAGCCAGTAGCACCCACGTTATCAGTCATGATGCATGTGAGAGTCTGGGCAGGACAACCTTAACGGTAACTCATTTGCTCATATAAAAACCATGCCTGCGCCAGAGGAGAACAGTTAGATAAAGTTTTCAGGAGGCCAATTCTGCAGGACTAGGCACTTCGTGCCTTTACCATCAGCAGGGCAGAAAGCTCTTCAGCACTCCATGGCCAACTCTGCAATGCATCACATACTGTGCAAAATATTTCCCTCCCCCTCTAAAGTGGTACATGGCCAGTTTCCTCTCCTGAGAGAGAGCTAGATTGTAATGTGCTTATATATGTTTTAATAAGACTTAAAGGCATTTTGTACCGATCACCTGGGCTCTTTATCAGCAAGTTTCAGTTTTGCTTTGCTGCTGTACCCTGGGTGACAGCAGGGCAGCATTTCATTGGTCTGGAGAAAGTGCTTGCAATGCTGCTGTCAAGCACTGGTCAAAATGAACACTAACCCAAAGGCCCAACTCTAGCTCTAAATCAGGGGTTCTCAAACTGGGGGTCGGGACCCCTCAGGGAGTCGTGAGGTTATTACATGGGGGGGTCGTGAACTGCCAGCCTCCACCCCAAACCCTGCTTTGCCTCCAGCATTTATAATGGTGTTAAATATATTTAAAAGTGTTTTTAATTTATAAGGGGGGGGTCGCACTCAGAGGCTTGCTATGTGACAGGGGTCACCAGTACAAAAGTTTGAGAACCTCTGCTCTAAATGGTAGCACTGTTCCTGAACTTGCCACTGAGCATTTTAGAGCTTGATCAAAACCTCACTAAATTTGACTGGAGTCTTGCTATTAACTGCAAAGGATTTTGGATCAGGCCCATCATGACACATCTACAGAATCCAAGTTTAATATTCATCCCTCATAACAGCGGATTTCTGGGGTTTACTTACATACTTGCACCAAGCAGAAAAGTGCATATTGGAGGGGGAAACGGCCTTAGTCTCACAGTGATGCTGTCATCTACTGACCTGCTTAGGTTTTTCAGAAGCCAGGAAATAATGATTTATTTAGAACCTGTCTCCACACAATTAGTTCTAAGTTTTTACTGGGAACACACACAGTAAATATAAATAATCAGAAAATGTAAAAGCCATGATTGGCTGTGTGCGCATTGCATGAAAAACTGAAAATGATTTGAGAAAGTTTCTTAAACCAAAGAAAGTATAGAAATGAGTCATCCAAAACAGCAACTGAAAAATAACACTCTTGAGAATAAAAATGGCAATTTGTGACAATAAACCACCAGCTGTTTCAGTGCTAAACCCCCCTGATATTCTGACCTCATCAAAAAACTGCTGAGTTTTGCGCAGTATACATTTTAATTCGGTCAGCTCTAGGAAGTTTCTCTTCAGAGCTTCCTGGTTTGTGTTGATTTCTTTAAGCTCATTTTCAATTTTCTCAAAGTTTGCCTGGGGAAGAAAAGGAGAGGGGAAAAAAATGTAAAGTAAACCTAAAAATAAATGCTATTTAGCCCTAATTAAGCACACAGTTCAAAGTGTGCTGTGCAAGATCTTTTCTTAACTGCATTCAGGTTACCCATAATTACTAGATGCTGCCTGCATCCTGTCTTCTTCACCATGCATCTTAAAACATTAGCATCAGATTATTATAATGCTACTCTATATAAAAAGATTAATAATTAGATTCTTTATGGATTGAGGAAGGCTTCTACAAACTCTTCCAACACAATATAAACTGGTGCAACCCCAGCAATTTAGAGGAGTTGTACAGTAACTCCTCACTTAAAGTCCTCCTGGTTAACGTTTCGTTGTTACCTTGCTGATCAATTAGGGAACAGGCTCTTTTAAAGTTGTGCAATGCTGCCTTATAACGTTGTTTGGCAGCTGCCTGCTTTGTCCATTGCTTGCAGGAAGAGCAGCCCCTTGCAGCTAGCCAGTGGGGGCTTGGAACCAGGGTGGACTGGCAGCCCTCACCCTCACCCAGCAGGCTCTCAATTGCTGGCAGTTCAGCTGTCCCTCCCTCCACTGCCATGTGCTGCTCCTGGGAGCCTCTTGCTTGCTGTGCAAGGGAAGAGGAAGAGGGGGGCTAATGTCAGGGTGTCCCCCTCCTCCCAGCTCCTATCCCCTCCCCTCCCACCCCTTCTCCATATAGAGCAGGATGCGGACACAGAGGGAGGGAGAGAACTTGCTGCCCACAGCTGCTGTCTCAACTTCCTGAGAGTGGTGTCAGCGTACTTAAAGGGGCAATGCACATCTCTCTCCCCCCCCACCCCCCCCATACACAGGGGGTGTGTGTGTCTCTGTCTGCCATGCTGTCTCCCCTCCCTCCGTTCGTGCTGCCTTGTAGAGTGTGAGGCTACATTAACAACAATGGGTTAACCCTTGAGGGCTCAGCTGAATGCTAGTTCATCATTTAGCAGTAAGGCATTCCCTGGGAAATACCCCACCCTCTAACTTCACCATCTCAACCAAGCTTCACAATCAACATTGCTGTGTACAGTATTAAATTGTTTGTTTAAAACTTATACTGTGTGTGTGTATATATATATAGTTTTTTGTCTGGTGAAAAAAATTTCCCTGGAACCTAACCCCCCCTATTTATATTAATTCTTATGGGTAAATTGGATTCGCTTAACATCGTTTTGCTTAAAGTCTCAATTTTCAGGAACATAACTACAACGTTAAGCGAGGAGTTACTGTACTAGTTTACATGAGTTCTAAATTTGGACCTTCGTTTTTAAAAATAAGTATTCATTTGCATCTTATACATACACACATTGAAGTTACAGCAGACTATGCAAACCCCACAATGCTTATGGGTCGGATCCTCAGCCGATGTAAATCGGTGCAGCTACACTGAAGACAATAGAGCTTTGTTGAATTAAACCAGGGGGGGGATCTGACCCTGTATGTTCTTACTACTAAATTCCAAAGAACTCAGTTATTGAGACTAATTAGCACAACTTCTGCTATCTAGACTGAGATACTAGTTCAGCCTTAATGAAACACTGTTACCTCTAAATCGATCATGTCACGTGGGAAAGGCACCTCCGGGTTCTCACCGGTGTCCAGGATTGGGATGTTCGCTTTTTTAATCTCCTTCTCAACAAACCCTAAAGACAGAAAACGTTTCACGGTGAGAATCACTATGAGAAACAAAAGCAAGAAACTGCACCATCAGTCTCTCTGCACCTTCACCTTCCCCATCACCTCACCTGACCAGCAGCTGCATATCCCGCCCCCACAACCATCCATCCTATCTGTAGCAGAACTCCATCAGAATACAGCTCATGTGGCTGCTTTAAAAGATCCACAAGTTCTATTCTCCACAGGAAACAAACCTTTCCAAAAGCAGCCTAGCCTACTGGGAAACGAACGTTACCTTACCACTAACACAACACTTAGCTATGGCACATTATTTCAAAAGTTTAGGCTGCTTTCTTCCCTTAAAGCTAGTATAGAATTAGAGGCATGCATCAAAGTAAAGCAAGGACATACTGAGTTTCCGGTCCATCTCCTCACATCTCCTGACTTCGTTAACAAATTTACGCTGGAACACATTCACATCAGGGTTCAACTGCAAACAGAAACACACATTTCCTTAGGAATGTTTAAATGTGAAGGATCATGATTACTAGTTTATCAGGGTTGTGGGGGGGGGGGTTGGCAAGTGGTGGTTTGTTTTTAAAGAATGATGCAAGGAAAGTGTACAGCGGATATGATTGTTGTGCAGCATAACCCGCTTTACTGAGAAGTAACAACTAGCTGGATATATGTGCCTGTGGCACAAGTGGACACTGAGATAGCAAAGATGAATTATGACACTTGACCATATAAACAGCAGCCAGGATCTTAATGATCTGATGCACTTTACTGACACAGGAAAGCAGCCACTTACATCACGGAACTGAACCTTCCCAAGCTCTCCTAACTCGCTGACACAACAGTATGCAGCTTCCGACTGGAGGAAAAGCTGGGCCAGGGTCATCTCCTCACTTCGGAAAAGCTCCCCCATGATGCAAGGCAAGTGTCGGTCAAACCAGGAGTGGAATTTTAACCCTAAAATCAAAAGGTTGTAGGGTCTGAGAATGTACAGCAGAGTCTGAATCCCACATTTGTGAAAGGACAATTTGCCTCCTATAGTCAGAGGAGAAAAGGTATAAAACACAGTCCCATGGAATAATTCTACACACTGCATGCAAATATTTTGACTTAAAAATAATACAAGAGGAAGTGATGATTCTTTCATAAGATGCTTGAGAGGTCAATTAGTTCTTCAGCACCTTCTGATAAAAGGCTCTCTCATAACTTTCTGAGGAAACACCTTAGTGAATCATGATAGATCTTACTCATTGAGCCGTGGTACAAGGGAGGGGAAACCTGTTACGTCACATGGTCTGCAAAGCACCAGGGATAGTTAACACACTACAAACAATTCTTTCTTCAGCAATCTAAGAACTCTGCTCTTCCGGGGCTGTCTCTTTCTGCTCTAAGCCTTGCCCTTAGACCGCAGCTCTCAGAGGCAACTCAACTCACACGGTATCTAAAGGCCAAAGGCTGCCTATTGAAGTGTCATCCTGGAAGCAGTCGACTTTCAGCTGACAGCATCCCTGAATTGGCAGGGAAGAGTTCTCCCATGAACAGACGAGCATTACCATTACACAACACAAGTGCAGTTCAGGAAATGCAGCACACTGAATATTGAGTTATAGTGCATCACTGTCGGGGCAGAGAACACATTCTTTTGCTCTTCTCTTCATTCGGCTGCTAGATTTTATATTTCCACCCTGCCCACTACAGCCTATTTGGAGGTCTGTCAAATTATCATAACAAGCAGGGTAGTGCTTCACTCAACACAGGTTTTAAAACACAAGAAATACCACACAAGAGAACCTGGCACTATCAGTGGTCCTGAATTATTATTGGCTCAAATTAGCTGAGCCTATTAGACCAAAATCGAAATGAATGACGCTTTATTTCAGTTCTAGCTACACTGATTTCTGACTTCACATTGCTGAGTGGAATTAGCTGCTGGTACGACACATTCTCTCTGTGTGGCCACAGGTGTTGTTTGTAATTATTCTATCTATGCCCAAATGCTGTGTGAACAGGAGCATGTCATTAAAAATCCATCCACAAACACTGTATTTCCATTTTGAAATCTGCAGAACAACAAGCCTTGAAACTGACTGGATGATTTGTTTGCTTCTGGGTTTATTCAAAATACGTTTTTTAAATGGAATAATATACCTTACAACACACGTATGCAAACTAGAATGATAAAATATGTATTCATAGCAAAATCAAAACCCTACAAAAAAGCATTGTGTGAACATCAAAGTAAACAACATGTTTAGACACAATCTGCTTATGAGAGGCTGGAAGCGATTTCTGTTGGGGATGCGCAAAAAGATGGAGCCTGGGAAGGCACCGGCAGAACCAGAGGCTCCAGAAATGCCGCAGATGCCCAGCCCTGGCACCCAGCGCGCAGGACCCTTGGGTGCGGGGAAGGGCACTTCAGGGGCACCAAAGGAGAGGATCAGGAGCAGCTCTGAGGGCTCATGAATCCCCAGACCAGGCACAGGGGCCCGCACGGGCTGGGGACAGCGATGGACACAGATTAATTAGCAGATTTCCCCCCCCCCCCCCCCCCGGGGGCAGACGGGAAAGCGGGGGGGGGGGGCTGAGCTCCACCACACGCGCCCCCTCCCCACAACTGGGGGCTCCCCATGGCCTCTCCTGGGGGGACCCCGCCCCCCAAGCGCCCTGCAGAGCGGGATGACCCCAGCTCGGGGCACCCCTTCCGCCGGGAGGGGGGGGCAACACCCCACCCCCAGCTCAGCCACCGGGGGGGGCCCCCAGCCTGCCCTGCCCCGCCCCCACTGCTCAGCGCCACCTGCCGCAGCGGGACCCCCCCCCCCTACCTGCAGCCCACTCCAGCCCCTACTGCGGCCGCCGCAGCATTAGCAGAGCCGCCCCGGACCCCCCCGCCCTGACGTCACCGCGCACGCGAACGTCCTCCCCCCGCCGCAGCGCCGGATCACGCGAGGGCGTCTCCTAGCGACGGCCCGGCGGCCATCTTGTTTCCCTTTGGGCGGCTGGGCCCCTCCGACCGGAAGTGCCCGGAATGGGGGGAGGGGCTGGAGCGGGGGGAGGGGGAGACAGGCCCTCCCGGCACCGCGTCCGCAACCCCTGGCGTCACAGCAGGATCCGATGACATCACGGCACATCCTGCTGATGTCGCCATGGGCACAGTGATGTTGTGATGCAATATGATGATGTCATGACAGAGCAGGCTGTGCACTTCAGCGTATCGGACTCAAACATTGCATCGGGGAGCACGACGCAGCGGCAGCCCCTCGCATTACAGCATCCCCCGGCGCACCAACGTGCGATGTCGCACCAACGTATCCCCACGGCGCACCAACGTGCGATGTCGCACCAACGTATCCCCATGTCACATCACCATACAAAGTCACCAACGTACAATGTCGCACCAAC